TGGGGTGGGGAGAGTAAGAGGAATCACCAAAGACACAGTGGGAGCAAAAAAGGCGGGTTGACTGAAATACACTGCTGAGGGGAGTAGCTAGATAGGAGAGGTCTGCTGCATCATGTGGGTCACCTCCCTGGCCAGGGATCAAACTGGAGCTGCAGTAGCTGCAGATTGCTTCATAGTGCTGACGTTTAACCTCTTGTGCTACCAGGGAGGCCCCTGGATTTACTTTTATTTATTTATTTTTTTAAAGATTTATTTATTTATTTATACAAGCACTGGGTACAGTCAGAAGCACAGGAGGGTGAGAGAATTCACCAGAGCCAGAGCGGGGAGCAGAGCAGGCAGAAGGACCGAAGTACACTGCTGAGGGGAGCAGCGGGCGGCAGGAGAGGTCTGCGCGCCATGTGGGACCCTCCTCCGGTGGCAGGGGAGAAGCCGGGGATCGAACCGGCGCTGCAGAGGCTGCGGGCAGCTTCGCAACCCAGCGCTCAACCACTGCGCCACCGGGGAGGCCCTGGATTTACTTTTAAACCACCAAGCCTACAAAGAAGTGATTGTCTTCTTACCCTGAAGTAATTTCTAATCTGATTCTCTGGCTGATACATGGTCTAGAATTTTACAAAGATAGAGTTATAAGAAAGACTAGATGAAAATGCGGAAACTGTAAGAATCATGTACATGATGAAGTTGGCATCATAAGACAGTGGGGAACAAAGGAAAGATTATTATAAATTGTAATTTAAATATTTAAATATATTATTATAATTAGTATATATTATATAATAAATATTATACTGTTTTTATTAAGCTTGTCTATATTATGTGTACAATTTATTAAGCTTTTAATTTCTTAGCATCTTTTGGAGTGACATTATACAGGGACAACTAAAGCATCCAGTTGCCATTTTTCTCAAAACACCATTGTATAGCTTGTACTTTCACTGTAATAAGCATGAAGAACCTGTACACTTCCCATTTTCACAGCAACATCAATTGACCCACATTTGGCATTCTTGGTAATGACCATGTTCCCAAGATTGCAAATTCAGTACAGGGGAAAGTGGGGTGGAGAAACGTAAAAGGTAAAATGGGCATTTTCTACTCTTTGAGAGTGCCAGAAGTACCAGATAATACAGAAAGGGAAAGAGGCACACCTAAGAAAGTCTAGGGTGATTGTTCTGTGGCAGCAAGAGAACATAAATCATCAGAGGAGAAGAGAACTGTTGCAAGCTGCAGGGAGGCTGACAAGAGAGGCTGGGAAGGTGAGACAAGGAAGACAAAATGCATATTTGGAATCTACATTAAGTATATAAATGAAGAAAATAGACTTTCAAATTCAAGCATGTCTCACAATAAGAGAGAGGACCTTAAGTATCCCCTGGTTCTGAGCAGGTTTCACAAAAAAGGTGGCATTTGACAGCTCAGACACTGAAGATCTGCTACAATACAGAGATGGACTCGCAAATCTGCCCCGAAATTACTGTGGCTGTCAAAACATTACTGTAAGGTCATCTATTTTTGGGCATTTGGCTTGTTGCCAGGTTTTGCCTATTGTAAATAGTGCTGCAATAAACATAGGGGTGCAAGTGGTCTTTTGAATCAATGTTTTTGTGTCCTTTGGGTAGATCCCTGGGAGTGGAATTGCCGGGTTGTATGGTAGCTCCATTTTTGGTAGACTGAGGAACCTCAGTTTGCACTGCCACCAACAATGTAGGAGAGTTCCTTTTTCTCCACATCCTCACCAATATTTGTGGTTGCTTGTTTTTTTGATATGTGCCATTCTCACTGGTGTAAGAAGGTATCTCAACATGGACGGAGCCAGAAGGAATTAGGCTCAGTGAAATAAGCCAGAAGGAAAAAAAAGAATATCGGATGGTTTCACTTATAACAGGAATATAGGGGAACCAAATAAGACATCAGTGTAAAAAAAAATAATAACAGTACAAAACACAACAAAGCAAAAACAGACAATTATAAACCAGAGACATCGTGCAGGGGAGGAGGAGGGAGAGGGACCAGAGGGAGGGAGGGAGGAGCACAGGAGACTGTGGTGATGGTGCATGGGTGCCTTGGGGAAGGAAATTCTATGGGGACTACACCTGAGAGGGTGGGGGAAGAAAATATTGTTTAAAAATGAACAATCATGTAAAAATATTTAAAATTTAAAAATAAAATAAAATTACTGTGTGGGAAAGGAACTTGGAAAGCTCACCCTTAGCCATCAGTTGGATTTGGAAGAACCACTTCCAAGTTTTCAGGTTTACTGAGATAGAGTTTTTATACAGAAGCTGCAGTGCTGCTATGTCCTTTAAGAACATTAATGCTACAGTTGTTGGGCCTTCAAAAATTTATTCAGAGTTCTATCACACAAAAGCAGATTTTATATATATATGTATTCATTTGCTTAAGAAGAAAAGAATCAGGGCAACTACTGTTTTTCAGTCAATCTAAGATGTGCTGTATTCATCATAAGATGCACCATTATTTTATGTAATTCCAGTGCAGACAATTAAATTTTAATGCAATCCTTTCTTCTGATTTAAAAGAAAAGTTTTATCATTTAGACTTGTTTAGATGGAAATTTTGTCACCAAATCATCCCTGGTGCCTTCAAGAGATTTAATGACTCAGAATTTTTTTAAATGCCTCGCTATCTCCAATATTTTCTTCCAAGTCACTTATACCAACTTTGCAAGTTTTGATATCAACACATTTTTACTCAACTGAATCATATGATGCTGAAAATTGAACAGCTTCTGTTCAAAGTCAGCAAGAAATTTTAATAATTTAATGTGTGATGGTTTAAAAATAACCCTTCACAATGCACGCACTCGTCACACATGTTCCTCATTATAGTGAAATTTCTTTTCTCTGTTCCAAGGGATTTGGCAGCTTCTCCTGTCTTTAGTTGCACCATTTCATGCATGGGAGGCATCCTTTCATTGTAGCTTTGTAACAGTTTCATCAACTTGGAGATAACTTCCCTGCTTAGATCAGACAAAGCACATAGGTGTTTCTTTTGGTAGATATTAATTTTAATCCTTCAAACAACAAATATGCCCTCCTCTTCATTTTTCACATCATTCTGAATATACAATAACTTCTTTTCAATGCAGACTGTAATCTTGGGTCACCTTAAATTTTGTATAAATTCAACATATGTAATACCAGGAATGCACAAATATAACTGAAGTGACAGCAATATGAACAGATATTACCAAGTTAATGCACTGCTAACTATTTCATATGTACTCTTTGCTAACATTGATTGCAGGACAGATCTAAATTTCACAGGTGAAATTCTAAATGGATACAAATTATAAATTATGAACAAAATATTTTCATGAAAAAATGTGAAATTTGTCATTTTAGTTAATACTGTAGTGCTCTTTATTTTGGGAACCATATTCCTGAGGACCAAGAGGAAAAAAGTTATTCAATTTGCATTGGCAATTGTATTATATTACAACATCATGATTATTAAAATGCAATAACAAGAGAAAAAATAATTGATAAAACAGCACTAAAAAAATATATGGTATACATATAAATTATCTGTATGAGAAAGAAGAATCATGAGGGAAGAGTAGTAGACAAATTAAATAGAAAAAGATTTTCCAGCTAAGTTTTGGAAAATCAGCTGTTTCACAAAAAATAAATAAAATATTTATTTGACATATCCTCCAAAGTAAACTTCTGATAAAGATTTATATGAAAAGAAGAAAATAAAAAAATAATTACAATTGTGGCTATCAGAAAGCCCTCTAACCTATATTAGCAACAGAAGAAATAGATTTGGTGACAGAAAAATTAACTTCTATACATAAAAGGTTATACATAGTGGGCCTCCCCGGTGGCGCAGCGGTTGAACGCTGGGTTGCGAAGCTGCCCACAGCCTCTGCAGCGCCGGTTCGATCCCCGGCTGCTCCCCGGCCACCGGAGGAGGATCCCACATGGCACGCAGACCTCTCCTGCCGCCCGCTGCTCCCCTCAGCAGTGTACTTCGGTCCTTCTGCCTGCTCTGCTCCCCTCTCTGGCTCTGGTGAATTCTCTCACCTTCCCGCTCTTCTGACTGTACCCAGTGCTTGTATAAATAAATAAATACATACATACATACAAATAAATCTTTAAAAAAAAAAAAGGTTATACATAGTAAGACAAGCAACATTTGGAAAAAAATTTTACCACATAAAAATAATATAATAGGTTGGCAATGTTAATATACAAAGAGCTCATATACTAAATAAGGAACAAATACTCCATAGAGAAATGAACCAAAGAAAGAAGCAGCAAATTCACAAAAGAAGTTTTAAAAAATGTAAATTCAAATTAACAAGATAAATATTTGTATCCTGCAAAGTTTTTGCTTTTTGTTAAGATTAAATAACCATTATAAATGTGCATATAAAATGATCACTCTCATACTCTGCTCATAAAGTCTATCTTTTCTCAAGGGAAACTTAGAGACTTTCAACTATGTGTGTGTTTATACTTTGGCAGAATTAGCCTATTACCTATAAATACTTACACAAATTTATTCTGAAGGGAAATTTAGCTATGTGCAAAGAGATATATGTGCAAAACTATCATATTATTTGTGCTATTTAAAAAGCCAATCAGCCTATATATGCAAAAGTAGCTAATAGTTCAATTTATCATTGTAACAACTCTGATAGAATAATGTGCAAGCATCAAAACTTACTCGTTTAGAAAAGAAAGTTTTTCTAGAAATGGTATTGGGAAAACTAGACAGCCACTTGCAAAAGAATGAAACTGGCTCGCTATCTCATACCATTACTAAAATTAAAATAAAATGCATTAAAGACTTGAATATTAGGCCTAACCCATAAAATACATAACAGAAAACATCAATGAAAAGCTCTTTGGCATTGACCTTAGTGGTGTTTTTGTGATTTCTCTTCAACAGCAAGCGGAACACAAGGAAGTATAATGAAATGGCACTATATCCAACTGAAAAACTTATGCACTGTAGGAGCGCGGGAGGCATGGCCGCCTGCTTGGCGAGGCTGAGGGGCGGGCCGCCGCGGGGCGGGAAGGGATTCATGAGCCCCGCTAACTTCGGCGTGGAGTCTTGAACGAATGCTGAGTGCGTGGGAAGTGCTGCTCGCAAGAGGAAATGACATACCTCACTTCATAAGACAGAAGTGTGTTTTGACATTCCACTCTCTGCCTGGCCTGCCTGTACATACATGTGTGTCTAATCAGTGGATCCAGAAAGTCCCAGAGACCCAGCTATGGAAGACAAACCGTTGGTGATATCAAAACAGAAGACTGAAGTGGTGTGTGGGGTCCCCACTCAGGTGGTCTGCACAGCCTTCAGCAGTCATATCCTGGTGGTGGTTACCCAGTTCGGGAAGATGGGTACCCTGGTCTCCCTGGAACCTAGCAACGTCACCAGTGACATCAGCAAGCCCATGCTCACCACTAAAGTCCTTCTCGGCCAGGATGAGCCACTCATCCATGTCTTTGCAAAGAACCTGGTGACATTTGTGTCTCAAGAAGCCGGAAACAAAGCAGTTCTCCTAGCCATGGCCATGAAGGACAAAAGCATGGAGGGGGTGAAGGCATTGAGGGAGGTGATCCAGATGTGCCAGGTGTGGTGATTATCAGCCACACCTACTCAGCAGAGCCAGGTGGAAATAAAACATCATCTCAATGATTTGAAGACCACTCCCCACCCCTTCATTCCCTCAGAAGGCTGTAGACATTTGGCTGTCTTTGGCTGTAGACATTCAGAAGAAATATGCACATCTCAGCCAGAGACTCTTTGTTAGGTCACTAATAACATCCATGAATGGAAGTGGGGAGGCAGAATGTGTCTTGGGGGTATTGTGAATGGTTCTCACCAGGGTCCAAATCATTGCATGTATTTGAAAATGGAAAGAATGAGTTATCAGACATGAGTCATGGCCCTCGATCTGCAATATCAATTGTTGGAGGAAATTTTTTTATTAAAAATAAATGTGTATCCCAAAAAAAAAAAAAAAAAAAAAAAAAAGAAAAACTTATGCACTGTAAAAAAAAAAATCAACAATGTTTTTTTACATATATATGTATATACACACACGGTGGAGTACCACTAAGTAATAAAAAATAAAAAGGGATGAAATCTTACCATTTGTAACAAGAATGAACCTTCCCTAGGGGATCACGCTAAGTGAAATAAGTTAGAATAAGAAGCACAAATACTATAATGATTTCACTCATTTGTGTAATATACAGGGGGAAATAGAACTAACAAACAAAACAAATTCTTAGACTAACAAAAAAATTGGTGGTTACCAGAGTTTAGAGGGAGCTAGTTGGTTGGTGGGGCATGGTGACTAGACATCTGGTGGTAAACTTGGTGTGATATATACAGGTGCTGAAGTGACTGTACACCTGAACCCTACACATGTCATAAATTAATGTTATCTCAATAAAAATAAAAACCTTGTTCTTTCGTAAATTTTACAACGGCATAGAAAATAGATATAATGTGTAATGTTAAATTCAGGATTCAAACCCATATTCTAAATGTAATGTTTTTAAATGTACGAAGTAATTACACTCTATGGCAAGTAAATTTGATTTATTTCTTTTATTTTTCTATGCCTCCTAAGCGTTCTTCAATAAGTGTGTATTATTTTTATAACCAGGAAATAGGAAAGAAGGAGAGCACTTTGCTCAGCATAATAAAAAGACAAGAGCAATGTACTTTTTTCTTATCAGATAAAGCAAGTGCTAGAAGATACATAACAGAGGCATTACAGTAATTATGAATTATAATTGTTTCCTGTAATGAATGGATAAAAATATTATCGCTCTATGGATTGTGAAGAGTAAAAAGACAATAATTTCAATTTAAATATATTTGTATGATTTTATAACTATTATGTACTGTTGTACTTGAATGACATTATATCATAATATAAGGCCTTGAAATGACAATTAGCAGCCTGTCATAGGCTAATCAAAGACTTTCATTATTGAAAAGCTTAGCAAGCACCAAAACAGAAACAAAGAAAAAGTATTGTTCATCAGAAGAGTTTAGATATTTATTTCTGATTCACATAGACAATTTGATACATGATTGGAACACATGTTTAAAATAAATCAAATTCTCCTAGCAGCAAAATTGGAAATATGCCAGTAGGTCCAGCGCAGGAAAGATCCTAATCAAATAGAAGCAAGTTTTCCTTGAGAGGTATTAGAGAATACCCTTGTCGACTTTCTCTTTTCCATCCCGTTCCTCCCCACTAGTCCAACTCTGATTACCTTCTCCTAGATGGAGGCAAGATTCAGCCTACCTATTCATTAAACTGGGAGATAATCTGAACACCCTGCCACCTCCGCCAGCGAGCAATGAGGGACAAAATTTCTTTCCCTTTTTACCAGATTCCTGATACAGAGAGAATTCTCCCAGGAGACTGAAGGTCGAATGCTTAGGTGGTGTTTTGCTCTTTTATTTGACTCTGAAAAGCAATATTTTTTTTCTAAGGGGCTGAAGAGCTGAATTAATATCTTATTTTGATCAATGGATTTATCGCTAGTCACACACCTAAGTAGTACAGTTTCCCAAACTGAATTCCAAAATGACAAGTGGCAGGAGAAAAAAGCATCACTTTTAGCAAATATGAAACATTAAAACTATTTCATAATAGAAGAATATTGAGTGACTATTTAACTTTGCCTCATATTGCAAGGTTTAACACGTTTTTCCAAAGCCATACAACTTTTAAGTGACGTCTGTCTGATTTAATGTGTTTAAATAAAAAGATTTCCCAAAACATCTCATTTGAAACCGTTATTCTAATCCAAGCAGCAGTAACAATAGCATCAATTACAGAAATGTTACTGACAACAAAAACATTCAATTCACCAACAAAGGTCAGCAGTAAATCTCCTTAAAATATGTACAGCTCATAAAAGTAATGGTTTTACAACTGTGATCAAAGCAGATGTTCATAAAATCAGCATTTAAATATGAAGACACTGCGAAATAAATGAAGATGAGATTGATTTAACAAGTGAATTCCAAAGTTGGATGGGGGAGAAAAAATTATCACAGAGCCACACTACTCCACGTGAGAGTTGCATGGCAATCAGACAAGAATACTGGAGCGAGCTAACAAACTCAAACCCAGCAAGTGTTTATATAAGGAGTGGTTTGAATATGGCACAGATGTTTACTTAATAGGATATACGTGCAGCAAATGAATGGATGTTCTTAGATTATCTCAATATATATAACACTGAATGATAGAGACAATTGGTCAGTTTCCTTTCTTCACCCTTTGGAGAAGAGGGGGTTTCATTTCAAGCAGATTAATTTTAGCCTTACCAAAACCCCAAGGAAAAGAAAAAGACACCAGAAACATCAACAACTATTATTTTCAAACACCAAATTTGGCACAAAGGCAGCCATGGCACCAAAGTTGGAGTTCTTTACAGCAAACACCTAGGGCATGTTTAAGAATGTCTTTCCCAAGCAGGTGCAAGCAATTATGCAAGCCTCATAAACATGTGCCTGTAGCCAGCTCTCCCTGTTTGCATTTTGTTTCTACAAATAAAGGGATCGTGCAGAAGGGTCACTTCTGGGGCAGAGAGGCCACACGCTACTTTACATATCCATACACAAAGCATGACCCTGAACCCGGAGGCATTTCCCTTTATGCTGCAGGGTGTGAAGTAAATCTTGAAGGACTTCTTAAGTGGGTCCTCACCACTCATAAGCAGCAGGCAGAATTTGGGTGGCCTTGCTATGTGCGGGCCTCCTGCTGTTGGCTGCAATTTTTCTTACAGACATTGATGAAGGCCATGAGGCAATGGCTTTAAATCTTCATAAAATAAAGACAACTGTGACTGAAGTTTAGTTTGGCCTTCTCACATAACAGGACTACAGCCAGAAGTGTTTTGTGCAAACTTTCCGTCTTCATAAAGGGGACAAAGAAGTTAGCACTGGGCTGGGCAAAAGCACTTGGCCCCAAAGGCCAGTTTCTGAAAATTATGCTTTTCAATGAAAAACTGATTTATACTGAAATAATCCTTTCAGTGCCTGCTATTGGATTGGCTTCCCCAAAAGACTATAAAATTAACTCCTGCTGAAGCAGTTTTATTTGGGGTCTTTATGATCTTTGACAGAACTGAAGTTACAGCTCAGCTTGACCAAATTGACTGGCATTGAAATAAACCTTCAAACAATGAGATGCTCCTCTTTAAACAAAACCAGAGCTAAGCCATCCAAAAATTAAAACCATGTTTAACTGAGTTTGTGTTTGAGTGATTTCTTCATGCATGTTTTGACCATGTAGATCATATAGTTGATCTCATTAAAACTGAATAAAAATAACAAACTGGTAATTGTTCACTATAATAACATGTAACTATCTAGGGCCAGCTATCAAGCACATTTTGATCTAGTACTATGAGAAGAGCACTATGATAGTTATTACAGGGTGGAATGCTGGGGGCAGAAAGACAACAAAGGAAAAGAATGTCATTCAGTTGGTGTTAGTCAGATGTTCTTTTTTTTTTAATTTATTTATTTTTAATTGAGGTAACATTGGAATACTCCATCAGGTATTATCTCACCAGACTGTACCGACTACAAACTCACCAATATTCTACCAACATAGACCATTATGCTTCCTGCCATAATTGTTCTTACCTCTCCCTCAATCCCTCCTCCCCCACAACCTTCTGTAGTTAGCTATCAAAGGTTAATTTTTAAGCCTGTCTTTATCTGACTATTAGTTTAGTTACTTTCCATATATGGTGACACCATCTGTATTTCTCTTTCAACTTCTGACATATTTCACCTAACATTACCCCTTCAGGTTCCATCCACCTTGCAACATGGCATATGTTTATACTTTCTGATTGCTGAGTAAGTATCACTTTGTATATATACCACACTTTCTTGATCCACTCATCTGTTTGAAGGCACTTAGATTGTTTCCATAATTTAACTATGGTAAATAACACTGCAGTAATCATGGGAGTGCAAGTTTCCTTTCAAAAGAGTGTTTTTGAATTTTGGGGGTAGATGCCTTGGAGTATAACTATTGGGTTGAATTGCAAGTCCATTTTTATTGTTTTGAGTCACCCTCCATACTGCTTTCCATAAGGGATGGACCAGTTTGCATTCCTACTAGCAGTTTAGGAGGGTTCCATTTTTTTCAATATGGGACATTCCCACAGGTGTGAGATGGTATCTCACTGTGGTCTTAATTAGCCTTTCTCTAATAATAAGTGATTGTGAATACACTTCCATGCACCTGTTGGCCATTCTAATGTCTTCTTTGTAGAGGCCTGTGTTTAGTCCTTTGGCCCCATTTTTAACTGGGTTATTTATTTTGTTTTTGTAGAGTTCTTTGTATATCTTTGATTTCAGTCCTTTGTCAAATGTATGGTGTGAAAATACTTTCTCACATTCAGTTGGGTTTGAGGTATGGTTTCTTTCACAGTACAGAAACTTTTTAATTTAATGTAGTCCCTTTTGTTTTCCTTACTATCGGGGTCATTGTTTCCTTACTGTACCTGGAATAGGCTTAACAAAAGTAGAAAAATCAAAATGTGTTTGGGATGTCCTGGAAGACATCAAAACTTGCTATTTGTGACCAGACAAATTATGAGCTTTATAATACTTAAACTTAGAAGGTCACTAAACTAAAACCAGCCAGGTTGACATGATGATTATCTAGTGTGTTTGACATTTACTATGACAAAAAAAGAAGCTAGAACTGGGATTTTAAAAAGGGGTAGATAGGACAAATAAAAAGGCGTGGAATTGGGAACTCTATGACAATGAACAGATTGGAAGCTAGGTGTTAAACTGGTGTGTGATCCTCTGTAAGTAATAGTTCTTGGTCTTTCTTCATTTGTAAAATCAAGGAAGCTGAA